AATTAGGAAATAAGCCCTTCTGGACTTAGGAAATTCTGGTTCAGTGGCTCAAATATGAATACAGTGCCCTGCTTCACCTTTACTAGCTCATGTCTTTCATCCCAATCAATCATCTTGACTGCACAGTAATGCAGCTACTTCTGAGTAGAATCACTTGGTTGTGAACCAAAGCCTGCTTTTCTAAAGCAATAGTACAAAGGAAGGAAAGAGCTCTCTGGTGTGTCATCTGTACCTGCTATTGCTTGAAAGTAAGTGGGATTCCATCTGAGTTCTTCCCTACCAGCAGAGCTCAATTAGGGCTTAAGCTAATGAGATATTCCAGCACAACTGAAGCCTGTCTTCAGCTTACCTTTTCTCTAAGAGACTCTTCACTCTGAGAAGGTGTCATTTGCTGGTTTTATTGCCTTCTAGTACCCCAAAAATCTATTGAGACAAGGAAGGTGTTCATTTTCCTTGAGCGAGCATGCAACAGTGAGAGGAGACAGGTTCTATCACTCAGCACCTAGTTCAGGACCCCTGAAGTGCATGGTCACCTCCAGACGTCACACATGGTTTCTGTGAGACTTTGGTAACATTGGCTGTTTGGTTTACTTGTTCATAGAAGCAAGGTCAAAGTAAAACTGTGATCACCCATCTTTCAGTGTGAGTTAAAATACTCTATAAAAACTGTTAGCAGAAGTTTTCACAGGTCTAGTTCAGTTTGAAAAGATACAGCTTTGTACAAAATTCCATATGTTGCCTGATGAAGCTTTCCTTTCTGATTGCAGTTTATGAATTCACATAAGCCTGTGAAAAGCAGCAAAAACAAATGGCCGGATTCATTGAGTCAGAGAAGATGGTTTTTTTAACTGGATTCTCTCATTGCCCTTTCTTTCCATGCCAGGTGCAGTGACAGCAAAATAAATTCAATTCGCAGACTCTTGTCATCCTCCGGATCTTTGGATCAGTTGTTATTCCCTCTCAGCCTCATTCATCGCTGCTAAGGATGAAGTTCTAAACACCTGCTGTGGTCGAAACTGTTCTTACATCATCTCCTGAACACAGTGACTTCACTCACATGAAATCATGAGGTTAATGCCACAGTCGAGACTTCAAAGCTCTTTCTGCTGACCTGAGCTGATTTTTTTTTTTTTTGAAAATACTGTGGTAGTTGCTGGTTCTTAACTGAGAGAAGAATTACCAAAGTAGTCAGTGTTCTCCTTATTGTGCAATACAAGAAGATGAGAGAATTTTCCAGCAGAGCTGCAGTCTGGATGAGGGTGGCAGTGCCATAGTATGAATTCTCCACTTAATCTCAAATTAGTTTTGATTTTCATCTTGTTGTATAAAATGGGGATGAATATCCTTGCTCTGTATTATCTACTTGAACTAGATAACCTTTAAAAGGTCCCTTCCAACTGAAATTATTCTATGATTCTATGAATTTGGTAGTTGTGCTGGAAAAGGGATTCTCACAAGACAAAAAGGTGATTACGGAGATGGCTAGTGGAGGTGAGAGATCATGCTGCAAGGACAACTATCAGGCAGAAAGATAGTTTGTAGTGGAGGTTCTTATGGAAAATACTAATTTTAATTTCTGTTAGTGCCATTTGGAAAAGACAAAAGCATGCTAATAACATTTACTAATTATTAAAGGGTGTCATCAAAGCAAGATGGGAAGAAGGTGATGGGGTAATAGGAATTGAATAAAATGAAGTGGTACACAGTGCAGGGTCACATACTTACAAAACCTTTTACTACAGTGGGAACTTCCATTCCATTTGCCTTTACAACCAGGGAGGACAAAGAAAGAGAGGAACCCCATTTTAATAGTCAATGATTATGAGCAACCAGTTTGATATGCACTTGATAATGTGATCCCAGGATATACCAAAAAAAATTGAGCCTTCTTTAATGACAAGAAATTTTGAGCTTGGTTTGTATGACTCTGCAAAAGAAATGTTGAGAGGAGATGACAACAGGCCCTATAAATATATCAGGAATGCAAACATCAGAGTTATTTTAAGGGGAAAAATAATTTGGCGAGAGAATGAGTAGGTATAGTTTGGCAGTAAATAGCTTTAGCCTAAAAATTAGAAGGTCTGTAATCCTCAGGGAGAGGCTTTGGACCAGTCTTTCGGAATAAGGAGGAAGACACTGACAGGTATCTAAATGACTCTGACGTGGTTACCTGCAATAGCAGAAAACTGTTCCCTCTGATCAGAAATTCCTTTCTGCTTCTGTGTTTCTGGGTCATAGTACAATGGGATTCCTAAATGTTAATAATGCAAGTAGCAACAGCAATTAGCTATTAATCAGTAATATTAATTAGAGACTGAATTGACTGGATGTTGCCAGTGACTGGATAAAACCAAGAGGATGGGCAAATCTCTTCTTTGTAAGATAAGGCACCCAAAGGAAAGAGTGCTCATCCAGGCTCGGTTTCAGAGAAGGCTTTATTTACCCAATTCCTGTTCATTTGGATAGCACTGGTATAATTAATCCAGACTAACCCATTTTATGGAGTTCCTATGATGGTGAGATCAGAATTGGGTCCAATATCTCCAAATAGGTTCAGAGTATGCTAATTGTCAATATTAAGATTTTAAAATTTTCAACATTTCTTAGCAAAACTGAAACATAACTTTTCTTTCCTATAAAGCTTCATGAAAGTACAGTATGATTCCTGGATAGAGATCACATCAGCTCCACAGTAATTAATTTACAGGTTTCTTACTGACCTTAGCTCAGCTCTGGGAATGGTGCCAGCACAATTACAGTAACTCTGAACAGGACAGACGTAAAGCTTCTGTATCTACCCTGAAATTGTGCCACATTTTTCTCTTGCTCAGTGATGGCAAGATGCATTTCTTCTTTGATTGGTTTCAAGTAGTTCAGGCAGTGTTGGCCATAACAAGATTATTTCCAGTAAAGCAAGGAAAAGAAGAAAACTACCATGCAGATGTACGCATACACAATAGGTGTGCTCTGTAGATAATATTTGGGAAGTGTATCCCAAGAAGCAGTCTGTTGAGAAAGTGAGTCAAGGTGACTTGAGCTAGTTACCTAGAAAATAAATGGCATCGTTGGGAATAAAATTCAAGGGGCAGATGCTTGATTCAGTATTGTTTTCACTGAATCACACTACCTTCCTGGAGCACGTCAAGGCCCATTGCCTTCCTTCCTGTGAAGATGGGCAGCTGGATTGCAATGACACCAGGTGGAGCTGAGAGCATTCATCACCTTGGAAAATCAGGCCCCTCGTGGTTTTCTCTGATGTTAATTGACCATCGGACCCTGCAAGAGGGGAGTCAACACATTTCCTGACCTACGGTCTAAGTGTTTTCCAAATGCTAGAGTAAATTTAATGTTGTTGCAGAGGAAATGCTGATGCAATCCACCAGCAGCTGCTGCTGTCCAGCATCCTCACGAAGGTACAGTATATATCGGAGGTGTGAGGGGTGAGTGCATGCAAGTAGGGTATGCAAAACCCCAGCCTCTTCTAAATGGCAGACAGGACTTTGTGTTCCTTCCAGAGCTCCTACCTTCCTGCCCTCAAGAGAAACTCTGCTAAGGGCTGCTTCCCAGAAAATGCTGGATGCCATCCTGAACATAAACCCCTGAAAAAGCGGGCTTTTGATGTGGGACCACTGAGGGTATAATCGCATTTTCCTAGGTGCCTGATTTATGAATCCTATATCTAAATGAGGAAATGTGGATTTCTCCTAAGTGCGAGTGAGAATGGTAAGAGCAATGTTCTGAATAAATATATTGTGATGAGTCTAAAAGATCAGGTAATTCCTGTGTTCAAACAGGCAAATTTAATTTATGGACAGATGAGTCTCGATGATTGAATTAATCTGATTTAATGAATTACTGCCTCTCAGTGGAGCTGTGAAAACTGACTGCATTGTGCTTTAGTCCCTTGCTTTTTAAAATAAATTATATTAAGGGAAAGCAAATGTATTTGGTTTAGAGAGTGGAAAGGCTATTAACATGGTCAGTTCAGATGGCTCTGCATGTGCATGGTAATTCATTAAACCACAGGAAGTTAATCTTGAACTCTGAATTTCTGATGTCCCAGCAAATCTCCCCTGGAAATTAGTAAGTACTATTTTTTCAAAGCCAGATTGGATGGGGCATTGAGCAACTTGGTCTAGAAGGAGGTGTCCCTCCTCATGACAAGAGTTTTGGAACTAGATGATCTTTAAGGTCTCTTCCAATTCACATTGACATTAAATAGTGAAAAAGGAATATGATGATACTGTGGCAGTCTCTAACTAGAAGATGGTGAATGGTGAAAGAATAGCACACTGCTGCTCATGGAGCTGCACTGGAGTTGCACTCCTCCACTGACAGATGTTTGACCATGTCACCAGCAGAAGTTGAACCACATCCGTTGGATCCAGATTATGATAAACTTAATTCTTAAGTGTCTAATCTTCTGACAGCTCTGGTCTGGAAATGTAATCTTTTAATCTGTTTGTTTCTTAGGGTTTTTTTAAATGCAAAATAATTTGGTGAAACCAGCCTTGTTACACACCACAGGTTGTATTTTTCGGTCCTCAACACACTGCAGGCATCTGGAATCCCATTCGTGCATTATGGTGTCATTAGTTATCCATCAGACAACAAAGAAGGTTTCGGATGTTGTTGGGAACAGAGATGTCCCCAACCTCCTCCTGCCGTCACATTGACTCCTTCAGCCGTGTGATCACCTGCCACCCAAATCCCACACAAGGTCCTGCTGCATTTCCCGTCCCGTTGCTGTCCTCGATGCCGTGCCCAGCCCTTCTCTGCCCACTTTGCTCCCGCTGTTTACACGTCCACTCTTCCCCCTGCAAGCACCCTGCTCTGCTATTCCCAGCCGGGAAGCGTTCGTGCCTCGGAAGGATGCCCGGGCTCCATTCCCGCTGCTGACCCGGGAGCGGGCGGGGCCGGCGGCGATGGGGCGATGGGCGGGCGGAGCCGGGGGCCGGTCCAGGGGCCGGGGCCGCGGCGTTGCCGGGCGACGGGCGGGCGTTCCCGCTGCGTCCCTGCTGCTCTCCCGTTCTCCCCGCGGCCCAGCCCACAGGTAGGAGCCGGCCCGGCCCCGCCGCCAGCAGGCGGGCCCGTGCGGAGGGGTCGTGCTTCTCGCCCGTGGGACGGAGGGAGCAGTGGGAGCCCGGAGGTGTCTGGGGGTGTGTGGTGGGCGTGGGGACGGGATTAACGTGGAGTCTGGTTTGCCCTCCTTGCCCAGGGCTTGTGCACCTGGGCTTTAGGGACGTTAGTGAAGGCCGTTGTGGTGACCACGGTGATCAATGTGGGACGTGCTGGCTGCTGTGGGACACACTGACTGGAGCAGGACATACTGGCTGGTCTGGGACACACTGACTGGAGCAGGACACGCTGACTGGTGTGGGACACACTGACTGGAGCAGGACACGCTGGCTGCTCTGGGACACACTGACTGGAGCAGGACACGCTGGCTGCTGTGGGACACACTGACTGGAGCAGGACACGCTGGCTGCTGTGGGACACACTGACTGGAGCAGGACACGCTGGCTGCTCTGGGACACCTCCAGTGTGTCCCAGGCTTTGAAGACCCCACCAAAGCATGGGCGTCACTGTAGCAATCCAGGCTATCCACGGGTGGAAAGCACCTGAGGTCTGAGACCGAAAGTCTCTGGTTATGTCGGTGTCGGCAATAAATCTGGTTTGACAGCGTGTTTAAACATTATGTTTTGGTGGAGCTCGAGGAGAAAAAAGTTGATCAGTAAATAGTCCTGGGCAGCAGGTGCAAGCTGTGGAGGGTATCCCCAGGTGTTTTGTGCTGAGAGAATGTGGCTCCTCTGTGTTGCCTCCTCAGCTTCTCTTGAAGGGCTGAAGAGACAGTGCCGAGCTTATGGGCTTTAAGCTTTGTTTAACTTTTTGCAGAAAGGGCTCGGGTGTGGTCCTTGTCCAGCCCTCTGCGGTATGGAGGATGGTTTGGGGATGTACCCACTGTCAGCAAGAGACTCATGTTACCTGCTCCTAGTTTTTAGCAGACAGTAATTAGTTAATTGGATATCTTCAGCTCTCCCTTTGGCCTCTATGTGAGGCCTGTGCTATCCTGGCTCTGTACCTGTCTTCTATAGTTGTTGATTCCTGATACTGGTTTTCCTGCTTGCCTGTTATTTTCCTTTTCGGACTGCTTTTACAAGGCAACATTTTCTGACAGTGAAATATATTAAATATATTAAATGTCAGCTTTAACCTTTTATCCCATGCTGCCCCAATGGCAATGTTTTCTCTAACACAACTTACTTCTACTACCTAGGAAATTACTGTTCTTTTTGTTCAGTAAATATCTTTTTTTTTTCCTTCAAATATGTAGATTCTTCCATATCAAATCCCTCACCTTTTCATGGTCTGCTTGGGAACTGTATTCAGTTAGACTTTCATTAAGCTGTGCTAGGCTCTACTGCTTCATGTCCTGTTATACTTTTAAGCCCTTTTGAGTGTGGACTTCTGCTGCTACAATGGATAAAGTATTTTTTGTTATTAATTGTGAAATGCTCAGAATCTCTTGGGATTGTTTTGGTTTTGTTCTCTTGAAGACTGTATTCTTACTGTTGTTTTAGCAGGACATGGAGCAACTAAATAACAATTTGCACTACGAGCACCTGTAATTCAAGATAAATGGAGATGAACAGCTGGGAAAATTAAATTAAAATGTCTGTAGGAGAGGGATGCGAAATGATGCAGAACACCAGTGGCACTGGAAGAAAAGGTAAAATAATTTTAAATGTGCAAATTACTGAAAATGTTTCAGAACTTTTTTTTTAAATTACTCTTCCATTTAGTTTTATTACTTTGCTTCATTTTATTTTGTCTAGTTTGAGTTTGCCTAAAAGAACTTGGATTAAAAATGCAGCGTTCAGGCATGTCAGATCTCAGAATTGCTGCGATTAACAGGTTTTGTTGTGGGGGTTGTGGTGAGTTTTTTTCTGGTCTTTGTGTTCTTTCTCTTGACTTTAACAGTGGGAATTACAAGGCTTCTCTGGGTCTGACCTCTCAAGGCGTTGATATATGGATGCATCCACCTGTGGGACAGCTCAGTTTGTTGGTCGTACACTACTGTCAGTAAAAGAGAGAACAGGCTCTGCCCATGGCCTGGGCTGCCATCAGCCTTACACAGTTCTTACACAATTCAAGGGACCTGATCCTATATAAAAGCAGGATTGAGATTCTGTGTGAGACCAGATGCAAGTTTAGCACTGGACTGGAGTGATCTTACTACATATGATTATGATGATGCATATGGTTTTCTAACTAACGTTCCTTAGGGGAAACAGTTAAAGAGATCACATTTATTCTCAAAGTTTGAAGTAGTGTAAAAGTTGGTGCTGCAAAATAGTAACATTATGTAATATGCCATAAATTTGGGATTGCTACATTTGTCACTAATGGGAATGGCTTAATATTTATTTATGAGGAATTATGAAGAGGTTATTTTTTAAATCAGAAAATTCATGAGCTTTTCACAGAAATTAATTATTTAGGTCCATCTGCATAATTTTAATTTGCTGGTAAAATGGTTAGTGTTTTTATACCTTCTACAGATTCACATGTGGGCTTGAAAAAGGATTGGAACCAAACTTATATTAGTAGGGTCACAAGTACTTGCTATAATACAAATCAGATCACCAGATTTGCCATGACAGACGTAATAAATACTAATGTATCTGTATTCAAAGGAAAAGATTATGGACCCTGGCCAGTTCAAAGAAGCATTATCTGATATTTTAAAAAAAAATTTCGAAAGCATGCATTCTGTTGGCTATAGCTTCTAACATCAGGAAGCAGTATTTGAACTATAAAAAAACTCTGGCTGTTTATTTTACATTTTTTGCATCTTAAGTTTTAATTTTTAGAAAGGAGTTCTAAAACTACTTGGGTTGTTTGTTTGTTTGTTTTAATGTTACTAGCATACATAGTGGTTGGATGTGGTTTTGCTTTATTTTAATAGAGTATACAAGTTCAAAGTGATGAAGAAAAGAAACATATATAGAATGAAGGGCTTTAAGTAAATTATTGTTATTTCAGAAAGAGCATTCAACTGTTGTGATTGTTCTCTGAAAATATCATCTTGCAGCTGCTCAAACAGACAGTGTTAAAACTTCTGAGAATAGGAATTGAAAACAGTGGAAATTCATGTACTGCCTCTGTGGCCACATCTTTAAATTTACATGCAGTACTGATCATCCTAGAGGGTAAATGGCAGAACTGAAATTGATTCCATGAAATACTTCAGATAGGAGATGAAAAACAAGATGATGTCAAACAAAGCTATAATTTAATGAATGGCATGGACAGTGGGATATATCCTCCATAATTCTAACTGCTTTTGACCTAATTTCTAATTTTAGCCTCCACAACAACCTATGTCAGTGTCTTCCACAATTTAAATAAATACAGTGCAAAATTGCACTTTCTCCTTTTTAAAAACTGCTTCCTGATAAAATTTCTGTGTTGTCTTTAGTCATTAGATGACTATTTGTCATGTCTCAATACATGATAAATAATTGCTTCCCTCTATGCCTCCCCAGCTATTGAACACAACACCTTTGGGATTACAAAGATACTGAGCAGCTGATTGCCAGAAATTACAGCAGTATGCCAGGGGAAAGATCACTTTGGACTAGCCCTACTTCTGATACTGTTTTTAAAGGATTTGGTTATGACTACAGCAGTTAGTTGGAGATCTGTCTTGACCCAGCAGGAGAGTTATAATGTATCTTCATCAGTAGCCTAAATTGCTTTTGCAAGGTCCTTTTTACTGTGAGTTTTCTGCTGTTGCTAAAATTTTGGGAATGTCTGTTACTAAATAAGCTCCTGCAGCATCCTCCACTGTTTAGTATTTTTCTACAAGTTCAGCTAAAATCTATCTCTTTTTTTAAAAATCTATCTCATGTGAGCAACACATTGGAAATCAGAAACAATGCAGCTGCTCTTCAAATGGCTTTCCAGGCCTTGTTGAATCTCTTGCTTCAATTAGCTTAATTACCAAGCAAAATGGACTGAAAATTGTTTGAGGACAACCAGAGTACATTGAAACTCAGAAATGCCATATATGATGCATTTCAGTCTTCACAGAAGTTTGTTTTTCAAAAGACCCATAAATACAATGCAACAGTAGCTGGAAAAACGGTCCATTTTTGCTGTCCTTTTCTTGGCTGGAATCTGGGAATGCTTCTAAATGGTGGGTACTTCAAAATGCTTCGAAGACCAAAACCATAGAGTTGTTCTTCTCTGCAGCTCTGGATTGTCACTTGGTCCTGAGTCCATGGGTTAGAATATGTTTGTTGATCTTGAAGAGATACTGATTTTGCAAAACATTGCTTTGTGTATGTCTAGTAACATGCCTAGTATCTGCAACCCCTGTTGTTTGCCAGCGACCCCCGCATCATGATACCTGCTTCGCTTTTCTTGTCCTGACTGTGGGGAGGATTGGGAACAGACAGCAGAAGAGCATCTTGAGACATGTTCTTGCAGCAGGAAATTCACCTATATATGGGGAAAAAACCCTCAATCTGTAGCATCTTGCAGTTTCAGCTAAGGATTTAGATAATCCATACTCAACCACAGCTACTGTATGGAGACTTACACTGCAGAGAGAATCAATGAACATTTGTAGACAGACAGATATTGCCACTGACTCCCTCCCACCATAGAACTCTAAAGACCAAAACCAGTTGATGGGAATTTGGTTATTTTTTCTTTGGTATGTAATAGAACATATAATAGAGAGTGATCTGCTTTTCATTCTGCTACAAGGACATTTTATTGAGGAATACATTTAATGCCAGTAGCTGGGTGTGCATCTGCAGTGTGAGATGCAGGTTGTGCCCTGGGTATGGGTAAATGTTGGGAGCCCTCGGCCAGGGGCTGTGATCTGGCACTGACCCTTTGCACGCCAAAGGGCACGGAGAACTCTGGCCCCAACTTGGGAGTGGCTGGTCACCCAGAGACTGTAGATTCCAAATAAGCAAGAAGACCCCAGACCAAATATCACCACTGGACCAAGAGGCCTGTGTAAGGGACATGAAGATCATGTGAGGAACAGGTCAGATGCACAGACTGTGAGGGTGCAAAATGCCAGGGATTCCTTTGTTGGGGGTCCCTCCTGGAGCCACCAGATCGAGCTGGTTTTGTGTTGCTGCTCCACGATTAAATTACTCAAAGTAACCAGACTTCTGAGATTCTGCTGTGGGAAACCCAGGGTCAAGCTGGTAAGGAAACCTTGTCTGACTGTGTGAGTGCAGGGTGTGCAGGGAGTCAAGTGAGACACCCGTCAGGTCACTGGAGCCACCTCTGTGAAGGAGCTTCGGTCCCAGCAGTGAAAGTCCAGGGTGTTGGGAGTGTGACTGACAGAGTGGCTCCTGGATGATCAGACAGGGAAGTTTTTTTAACAATTTGACAAGCTAGCTCCAGAATGATTTAATATTAGAGGCATTTCCAGCACATATGATAAAACATTTCTCATCACCCTGCAACCTTCTCAGCAGGATCTGGGAAAGTATTACACATGCAATTAATTATGCAATTTGTAGATATATAAAGGAGAAACAGGTGACATTGAAGTGCATTGCCTTTTTATTTATTACTGCAATGTTTTTAAAGAATATTAGGCATATTTTATCCCAACAGGGTTGGCTCAGACCTAGTCTGGGTTTGTAGCACGCATTTTCTTCTCTGGGATCACTGCTGCTTTGGGTAACAGCACAGTTTGAACTCAGCTCTGTGCATGGGGGTAATAGAAAGTCCACGAAGCTCTCAGGAACTTACCCTGAGGACTCTGTGCAACATAAGTCCCAAGGCCTACCTACCATGGTCATGCTAATTGTAGAGCAGGATTTACATGCAATAACAAAGGACTGTCATGCGCTCTTACAGCTTTTAAAACCACAAATAAGGAAGGTAAACAAATGAGACAAATGGGTACACTTGCTTTATCTGTAAATTTGGGTGCTTGAGCCAAGAAGACTTACACAAAACTGTCATTGTAAGCATTAGAGTCATTCGGTGCTTTAATGTCAGGGAATTTTTATTTATATTAAGTTGGACATTGATATCTTGATATTTCAGCATTCTCTTAAAAGCTTTTTTTCTGTAGTGGGACACACAAGTGGAATATTTATGAATGCTCTTTATAGTGTTTACACGATCCCATGATATTAAAGTAGCATTACTGAAGTAGTTGTTACCTCCTTCTGCTTAACAAAAACAGAAGATTAGAATCAGACTGTCCAGTCATACACAGAAAAAACTTCATGTTAATGACAGGTCAGATGTTTTATTTTTCAGCTTTTTGGAAGTCACACCTGCTAAAATAGACTGATGTGTTGCGGGATGCTTTATATTACATAAATGTTGCAGGAACTGTTTTTGCCATTATGGGTGGATTATTGTAACAGTAGTTTCCTGATGACATCATAGTAAATTCCAGCTGCCCAAACAGTTATTTTCCAGAAGAGGTTATCTGCAGTGCACTTGTGCAAAATTACACTTAAAAGGGCACTCATAGTTCCCTTGGGACTTATAAACCAAACCTTTTGTCAAATCCTTAGTAAACACAGAATTCTTTGTTTTCATTCTGTGTCAGTGGTAACAGTATGGGCACTACTGTAATTTGTGATTCTGAATTAAAAATATAAAAATTATATTATGCAAGACAAGAGAAATAGAAGTCTGCAGTGCAAGCTTCTTGTCATGAAGGGATACATAGCACAATCACTCTCAAATTTTTTCCTAGAGAATTTTTAGGCTGGTGACATACAGAAAAGAGTCAAGAGATTGCAGAACCCCCACTGAAACAGCACCCTCCCTGTCCAGTGAAGGCATGAGTAGCCACAGAGCAGGAGAGGATGCTGGCTGAAAAGCTGGCCTAAGGGCGTAGAGATTCCTTTTTGTATGGGATGTTAATATATAGAGGTATATGCCTTTCTTAGACTAAGTCTGGATTGATTACTCTTGTTTGATATTTTGTTTGTTTGTTTTTAAACATGCCTTGTTTAAAAGGATCTTTCCCACACTTGAGAAGCCATAATTAATATTGAGTCAGACATTTGTGGTGATTGCTGAATTTGAAATGTATAATATATATTTAATGAAGAGTACACAATCCTACCATTGACTCTTCAATAAATCTTGCAGCAGGAAAGTAAAATCTTGAAGTTTTACTAGTGTCAGACCCTAAGAACATCAAGTAAGTCTTCTCTGCCAATTTCTTTCTAGCAAATTACAGTATTCTGCAGGGATTTTCAAATTACATGTGGTTCCAAGGATCATTAAATTTTAATAATGATCTTTCTTAGTGGAATTTATGTATGTTGAAAATGTCCTGCAGTTTTTAATGGGCTTTCACAACATGTCTGATATTTGGATAGCTTACCATGATCATGCACACTCACTTTGGTAAGGAGAGTGGCAGCAGTGGAGAAAGTTGTCAGGTTAACAGTTTGTGGAGTTCAAGATCTTCCGTGTTACTGCTCTGGTCGTTAATTTCTCCTGCACTCAATTATTATCTGCTTCTAGTTATCCACACATGTAAGAGTCCGCCAAGTCAATACCTTTGATTCAAATCCTGCAAAAACAAATTCTTTGATTTCTTTCATTATTTTACTCTTCTCAGTGTTCACTTGCAGGACAAAACTCCATTATTTTTTGTCTTTTTTCCCTGTCCCTGACACTCATCTACTTACTGGTATTGCTTTGCTGTCCCACTGTTGTTGAAGGTTTGCACTGTGTGCAGTTAGCTTCCATCCTTGTTGGTCCCACAGTGTCTTGAAGGAATGGTCATTCCATCCAGCTCATACATCCAGTGTATATCCTATGCAACCATCTTCTCCATGGAGAAAATCTTCAGGTTGACTTCTCAGACCTCTTTATTGACAACAAAATCTTTCCAGTCCCTGTAAATTGTCCCACTGAGGCTAACACTAGTTAGGGTCAGTGGTTGCTTGTCCAGTGCATTTGACAGAGCCATAGGTCTCTCATTTGGTTTTTAGCCTTTTAAATGAGTGGGTGAGGTGGCTTTACTGGAGTGGTTTTACCTGCATCAGAAGGTTGGGTGGACCTGATGAAAATGAGTGGTATGTCCCCTGTATCTGTAGGAGGACGAGTGTTATGCCAGACCCTCCTCTCGCTTCCGCACAGTGCTGGAGATTTCAGAGGCCTATGGATTTTATGTGAGATTGGCACCTCACCACTAAGATTCCTGCACTCTTAACTTTTCTGTATTCCTCATTTTGAGAATGATATTTTGATCCATGTTCAGGAGAAGATTATTTCTTCTCTGGAGAAAGTTTTGAAGCGATGGAAGCATTTAAAAAGTGGTTGACAATAATTCAACTTGATCCCAGGCAATTTGTAATGAAAATACTTTTCTTCTCACTAATCTACTGTTACAGTAATTACAAGAGCAGATCAATAGCAGGAAGTATAAAACAAAGTGTTACTTTGGATATTAAGCCCTAAATTGATCTTCCTGTCAAACCTAAAGTAAGTGGTGTATCAACAAGTTTCAAAGATTTGAGGACATTCTGAAACATAATAGTGATGGACCAACAGAGGAAGAACAATAATTTGTTTTATGCAAGTGTGTTAACTCTTTGTGGCCCAAATCTGCATAATCCTGCGATTATCTCATTATGTTTTGCACTCACACGTTACATCTGTGTTCTCTGACTGTTGCTCCACTTGGCTCTGGTAACATACAGGATTATCTCTGGATAATAACAATCCTCACTTGAATTAGAAAGAACCACCAGTACTTGCACATGATCCAACACAAATCTTGTGCAATTGGCAAAGTATTCCAGGATTTATATGACAGATATTCTACTCCAAGTCAGTTATTGACCAAAATAATTCCTTCTCAGGAAAATAAGGACAGCTCCAGAAGATCTTCCTGGCACAGAAGATTCTTTAGTTTCCTTGGACAACTGATGACTGTTGCAACCCTTACTGACTAAATCATACTGACGTGCTCTAAAGAAATCAGACGAGAAAAATCTGAGAAATTCTAGAATTCTTTGGAAAAAGAACCAGGTAATAGAAATTTATGGGTTGTAACTTTTCTTTCAAAATGTAAGACACATAGTGTTCTTGAGGTCCATCCTAATGCGCAGAAGTATGAAAATATGGAAGTTGACTTATACTACTATAGGCATGCTGAAGTTCTAGAAGCTGCAAATATCACTGCTCAGTTCACTTATGGTGGTTGTTTTGTAAGCCAGTAAGAAAGATTGAAAGGAGTTATGTGTCTCTGAAGAATTTGTTCTTGAATATGTTTTTAAAGCATTGAATATTGCTGTGGCTTAGATGTAGCACATTTGAGAAGTCAGCTTCTCTGGTAGAAGTGCTTGCCAGGTATGTGCAGTGATCTGAAAATATAGTTTTTGCTTTCTGTGGATTTCCTCTCCCCTGATGAATGTATGAAAGGAGCACTTAGGAGTCTGAGGGTTTGGTTCCTCCCTTCCTAATGCTGAGATTCTTCAGAGAGATTTGATGGATCATTAATTTCTTGTTGCTGGTTTTCTTTTAATAAGGTCTGCTGATTTTGCTGACAATGCTGAGTCCTTTGAATTGACTTTTCTTGTACAAGCAAAGAATTTTGCCTGGACATGAGTAGTCAGAGCAAGAAGTCTCTTCGATCTAAACCTCTCTCACCTACTAACATGACAGTCCTCTGAAGCAGAGGTGACTAGCTGAGCAATGAGAACTTCTATTTGTCCTAACAGAAATTACTCCTGTATTTAACTGTTTATTAGTATGAGGGGGAAGGAAGGTGGTAATTCTCAGGTCTTGGCCACCACTGAAGCTTTGTCAGCCAGTTATGATTAGCTTGATCATTTAATTACTTTTCCAGCGCTAAGACTAAGTATTGCTTCACAGTGGAGAACAGAACAAAACTGCAGGTGTCCCTTTAGCAGAGCAAGACGGCTTTTCTCTAGTCTAGCCTTTTGTTGTTACAGCAGTGCTTCCAGCTGTGATACTTCCTTGCTGCCAAGTAATAGTAAATAGCTGTATAAATCATAGTAGTGCTTGTACCATTCGGGAACAGCCAATTGCTTTTTGCCTCTAACAAGTGTACATATGCTTACTCTCATATTTCAAAGTTAATTGTTAATATTTCTGTGAAAGTAATGGCTTTGGGAATTGAAGAATGAACACATTTGAAGTGCTTCTTCCAGCTTTGGATTTCACTCCTCACTTGAAGCACACACAGTTTTGTTTAAATTGTATTTTACATTTATTTTCTCCAAGACTGTCTTCAAAATGAGAAGTCAGTAGCCATAGCCTGCCTGGCCTAGAGTTAGTGACAGCGCAGGTATGTTTAATTTAGGGCAGCAAATACAGACAGCTTCTGTCCATGCTGCCTGCAGGCAGAGCTCAAAATGCTGGAGAGAAGTGGTGGCATGTCTTGCTAGTGGCACTTGCTGGAGTCCAGCAGAGTTTTGCTGAGTGCTGTTCATGTTTCTCAGGAGTGAATAGGTAGATAGGAGGCCCATGTGGATGGGAAATTCATTGCCACTGGAGAAGGGTGAGTGGAATAGTGACAAGACTGGAAAGAGCTAGAATCTTGAGTTGTGTGTTCTCTTCTGACATCCTTGTACAGCGCTATAGGTATGCTTGGCTTTTTGTATAACTGCAAACAGTAGTTTGCTTTAAAAGCCTACACTTAAAGCTTAATGAGGTGTGGAGTTCTGATAGCTCTTGAGGGTGAAGAAAATGAAGAATATATGTTACATGATGCATTGCTTTGGTTTTTTTCCGATTAAAGAAACCTGTATCTCCATAGGCATTTGCTGTCATGCAACGGGAGTCAAAATAGGTTTTACTAAAGGGAAAATAATAAATACGGGTAAAAAAGTCAGACTGCTTGTTATCCTTTTGTTCGAAGCATGTTGAGATGGACCTGAAGTGGAATCCTGACAGAGTTTCTCATCTGGGCTCATCTGAAGTCCGGGTGACTGATTGGAATTGGCGAGGCAACCGAAATCCCAATCCACTGATTAAAGATGATGGAGAGCTGCTTATGGAGGAACATCTTTCCCCCAGGAAACTGGTGAGTAGGTATCCAACTTTTTAATGAAGTGGAAGAGGCAAACTGGCATATACAGAGCTATATTAACTTCCAACTGCTATTGTGCTGATTATGGATTGTTGTCTGTCTGACATTTAGACTTCTGCATGAAGTAGATTCTGTCTTATGAAAGCGTATCAAGTGCTTGTCCTCCTTTCACCTTGTTTCATATCAAAAATACTCCCAGCATGAATGTGGCTGTTTTTATTGCTATGTTTCTTGAAGCAGCATGAAGAAAAGTACAGGTAGCATAATTATAATCTACACAGATCTCATTAGTGCCATCCAGCGTACCTTGAATCTTAGCATTAGAAAAAAAATTTACATTAACCGTGTTCTAGAGATTGGAAGTGTAACTTTAAAAGCACAGCTTTTTTTTTTTTTTTCTGGATTAGTGAAATCCTCTGTCGTGCTAAGAAGACAATTAAAATACTCTGCAAATGCTAAAAGTACTTTGTATGTATATCAAAGTGTGTGGAATTTCAAAGCATATTTGAAAGCCATGTTCCTTTTTGACTGGGGGAAATTATTTTAGTGTGCAGCCAGTTCAAAGAAAGTAACATGCTGAAATCTTCATGAAGGAATTCACTTTGTGAAATAGTCATGAAAGAATACTTGGTTGCATATTGTGTTTTATTTGCTTAGGACTAATTAAGGGTGAAATCCTGTGGGAGGTACAGGAGCCGAGAAAATAACCTCATTTTTCCCTGCTAAAGGAAGGAGGGCTGAGAGCAGAAATTAAGGGGAGAAGCTTTCTGTGCTGCAGAGCTGCAGAAGAGTAGCTCTTCTGCTGGGTAGAATTCATGAAAGACAGGTGGGGCTGCCAAGACTGTGGTTCAGATGCTGGCAGGCATTCCTGTGCCAGGCAGGGTGGTGATGGCAGTATCCATAATCCTCTGTGTATCCACTGCACCAGTGGAGAGACATGAGCTTCCACAGGGAGCATATTCCAGCTGCAGGTTTACACCACTCCCTGACCACATACCAGTCACCATTTTGACCGTGTGCTGTAGATTAAACAACAAATTGTTCTCAGAACTGTTATTCCCTCAGTAGCTAAGTGTTTTAGTGTTTGTAAAATGGTTGGAGATGCAAAAATCATTTTCTGGAGAGTGTATATTTTAAGCACTCGGGAGGAAAATTGCTACGTGATTGTATGATCTATGCCATTCTCTTTCCTTAGGCTCATGACAGCTTCTTGATCTGTCTTTAAAACCTGGCATAGAGTTTGACCAGTCTAATGTGTTTGTGGCCTACAATACTCTGTACAAATTCAATGGGAACCTCTCAGATTAGTCTCTATTGTTAGAGTGTGAACCAAAGCCCATTAAAGTAACCAAAACAGCTGCCCTCTGATTCAATAAACTTTGAATTAAACCCTTAGAAAGTTCTTTCATCAGCATGAAGTTCTCTTTTTGAAGGTCTGCTGCTTTAGTTCACAGTAAATCGTAAGCAGAAAAGCGTATGTAAGGCAATGTGACCCACGTCCCACAACGTTAATGTTCATTACTTTGTATTTTTTTTAAATGCAGATAAGTTAAATAATTGAGCCTTTACTCTTTAAGATTGTGTGTTTTAACATTTGTAAGGGATCCTATTTCAGAGATTCTTTTAAATGGATGCATACTCTTCTGCTAATGTTTTGTGGATAGTTATTTCCTGCCCTGGAACATCACACTTGTGTTGGCATAGCTGGGATACTTCCTGCTCAGAAGAAAAATTACATGACATTGTCAAGGAAACATTTACAGTGTTATAGTTTGTTTTAATAACATATCAAATCTATCTATTCTTTGACCTTTATGTTGATCAAATGGAAACCACTGCTTCCATAAATTTACTTCCTCAGGATCTGCAAATGTTCAGAATGTTGAAACATTTAACAAAACAAGTTTTCACATTTCACAAGTTTTCATATTTCTTTAAGGAACCACATGCCACCAACAATCAAATGGTTTGAAAGGTTGTTTTGCTGAAATCAATACAATTGCAGTATCTTCTTGATTGTCTCACTGTTGTGAATATTTTAGGAGTTACTGATTGTATTCACTGAAGTGCTCTGAGAAGGAAACTAAGACTCTTTTAAAATACATGCTTGTTAAAGTAAAATTATTTTACATTCAAATAAGGATGTGGGCCTCAGTTCTGCAGTGTTGTGTAGGCAGATATTTGGACACCTGATGGAGGTTCTTGAGGAAGGTTTCTGTACTGAGATAGATACTCAGCTTTATTCCTTGCCCTTGCAGTGTCCTCTCTTGCACCAGCTCAGTTGGAGTTTTGGGGAGGCTGGGAGGTCTAGCTGTGCAGAATTGTGAAGATTGGGCACCTTGATTGCAACCTTGTTTCTACCTGCACATTTGACTCATTTTGTCCTTTTTGCCAGGGGAATGACCATCTATTTTGTAGTGAAAACATCAGTCTCCATTAGCAGTCCTGATCTTTAGGAACTCTCTCTAAAACCTGTAATGCTTGTATCTCTTCACTTTTTTATCCAGTTGCTAGGTTGTTTCCCTCCAAAGCAGGAAATTTTGGCTTACACCAATTTTTTTTTTCTTCTTGCCTTCTTGGACCCTGTAGAACTTCTACAGAACCACTGGGACCTTCACCCATTCTCCTCTTCTCCATAGTGGATCCCTTCACTTAGACCTTATGCTCATTCACTGCAGAGCTTGGTCTTCTGTGACCTTGTTTTAGCATAATGTTCCCTTCAAATCCTATGTGATTCCCTATCCCTGTTATGTTAATCACATCATCTAGTTTCTGCTTGCTGCCAGCTCTGTTGCTGCGCTATCAAGTAACACCCTTTTATATTTGAATGTTATTCATCCAAGCTACAGGTCAAAAGCTTTGGATGTGAGGGTTGGTATCATGCAATGTCCTTTTTATTCTTTCTGCCAGTGTCAATGGCAGTTTTCTCTTGTACTCTTCGGTCTTCCTCTATATGAATAGGCATTCTTGCTTTTTCATTTGTACCTGTCCTAATAATATTTCCAGCTCCCTGCTCTGCTTGTCCTTGTGCTTATGATGTTGTTGTCAGATATCGTAGAATATCAGGGTGAGCAAATTCTCACTTGGTTCTGCAAAATGGCTAATAAGAGGCAATTAATTTTTAACTCTAATAGGAGTGTGGCACAGATTTTTCATTAAATGTGGAAAAATTGAAATTAAGGGTGCCACCTGTCTTGAATCACATTTTTGTTTTGCACTATTAACCTCCGTCTTCTCCCTACTGTTTGCAAAGGATCTTTTCCTGAATTCCACAGAATGCATTGCACTTCTCACAAGAAACCCATTTTACAAGGCCAACTGATCTTCCAGATATTGTCACATTATAAAAAACAATCACATTTGTGTGTGATCTTTAGAGAAGAAAGGAAGTGTTCTCTAATTTTGCTATTTATTGATCCTGCTCCAACTAATCATGTTTTCTAAACTTAGGAACACATGTTCGGAAGTGGTGTTTAGTTTTGTTGCTGAGGAGGTTAGGGTGTATTTCATATGGCATGCACTCATCCTCGTGGGGAAAAGAAAATGCTGGAGGGTCCTGGAATAACAGATTGGATTCTGGCTGAAATTACTCGGTCGTTTCCTTTTTCCTTTTGCAGAAAGTTTTTTTGCAGAAAGATTACACTTGAGCTGAGAACTTGGAAAAAAAAAAAGGCAATGAATGCATGAATGGACATGAGTCCAGTATTTGCATACAGGTGTAGTATTAAAAGAAAACAAGCTCATCACTCAGGAATTTCTGTCTTAGCCAAATTAACCAGGATCAGCAAAATAAATGCACAGCTGGAAATATTTCTCTGACAGCTGCATGCAACATGCTCCTCAGGAACATACCTACTTTTCTTAGAGTGTGTGAAAAATCTGGGGAAGAGAGAAGACATCAGTTGTATATGCCAATTTTAACTGAAAAAAATGTTATTTGCCAATTAAAGAATCTACAGATAGTTACAAGGTGGGACTTCCCAGCATGCCAAGGTGACTGTTCTGCCAGTTGGGAAGCTCTGCAAGCACAGAAATGTTTCTCATTTGAAATTTTTACAGAATACTTACTGGCTTGACTTGTCAGTCTGAGGAAAAGCTTTCCAAACCAGTGTGTGCTCTCCAGTTAGATATTGCCCAGACATTTTGCATGGTGGGAATGGTTTGTGAGTGCAGTTGCTTCTTAAAATACTGGCTAAATTATTAGCCAATAACTTCTGCATAATATCATGAAAAATAGTTTTACTCCTATTTTGAAGAAGGTGAAAAAATGTAAAGTGAACTTGATTCACCTTTGTTTTACTTACTGTGTATTCATCTTCAAAGAATTGTGCAGTGCTTTACCATGGACATTACCGTCCTTTCAAATAAACAAATTTACAGTGGAGTGTAACACTTGCTGCTCAGAATCAAGCTGTCAGGCCACCTTCTTGAAGATCATGTTTCAGAAGATTTTAATATTTGATTCTTCAGAAAACATCCTCCTTCTCTGTATAACTGATACCTACATTGCTGGGTTGCAGGTGGGTGCCAAGCAGAATCCTCTCTGAACACCAACAGTCAGCCTGGAATTATACTTAGGTTTTTCAAGGTATATTTTTGACTTGAAATAACTGAGTATATCCTGTTCTTTGCCTAGAACAGATCCTTAGTTCCTTTTTGTTGGCTCTACGTGGAGGCTGAACAGCTGTAAACAGCTAAAGAAATACCTTGATGGTACAGCACCTTCATGTCTGTAAGCACTCCTGGGGCACAGGCAGGGACATTCAGAACAGCCCACTGAACTGTGGGCAGGCAGTCATTACCCGAAGCCACAGTGGGACACCTCTGAATTAGGGCAGCAGCCTGTCCTAGACCTGGGATGGCCTTAGGAATAAAGAGACCCAGAGCACCATAGCATCACTTTTATCCACGTGGTGCCAGACATCTATCTGTCCAAGCTGATGACCCTTCAGTGTGTTTGGTCATGACTTTTTTTCTCTTGTTACCCAATAGCATCAGAATTCTTCCTATATATGCGTCCTTTCAAATTTTGGTGCAGGTTCCCCTGCTTTGACGTTAAACAACAGCAAAAAAGGGTCTTACTAAATATGTATCATCTTTGTTTAAATGTTTCCACATTCTTCCCTCAATCTCCCCCATTCCTGGTGACAGAATTTTTGCTGTCAGAATTTACACAAGACGTATCACACTTGCAGCTGCATCAGTATGCCAAGAATGGTGTCTGGGGAGTAGTAATATCCTAACTATCTTCCACAGGAACCATTCACCACATAACCTCTCTTGAACTGCCACCCTGGCCTTTTTGCTCGCTGACTAGCTTGGAGTCAACACCTGGGGTCTTTGTGCTTCTAGTGCCTTTAAATGAGCTCATATCCTCCACCCAGGAGCATTTCTCATTTCCTTCACGTACTGCACTAACTTTTGCATCCCACAGCAAACTGGTTTCAAGCTCTCCAAGCATGTCCTTGGCATCAGCAGATGGAAGGACAGTGATTTTCACAGGGACTCTTGGAAATGCAGAACAGGGAGGTGGGCACCAGGAATACATGGAGTTCGTTGCATCTGGTTAGCACATGCTTCAAGACAGCTATCTGTAGTTCAAAGAGCTGGTGATGACGGCCAATAACCCTTTCCAGCACTGGAGCCACAGTTCTGCCTGCTGCAGTACAAAAATATGGATGCACTAAGCAGCTCAACTCTCAGACAGTGAAAAAAGTACAAATGGGGGATCTGGAATAGGAAAAGAAGGGCAAAGAATCACACTGGTAATCCCTGATATGATAAAAAGGAATAGGAAACCCTAAAAGAGGAGAGAATATAACTTTAGGCATCTTTTATGCTTGGATTTTGAAAGAGAGGAACAGGGACCAGAACTGTGAAGGGAAGCTGTCTGGAATACAGCAGGGGAAGGACAGCATGCAGGGAAGTTGCAGGCAACGAGGAGAAAAGGACAAAAATGGAACAAAAGCTCCTTGTGGTGTCAGGACCTTTTCCTACTCTACTGACAAAGTGTATGACCCTAAGCTTATTACTTGTTCTGAGACTTCCTCCTGTTCTGATGTAGGCTCTTAAGACTGTTTTGATGGGGAGCAGGGAGGTATTTTTCAGATGCAGTTTCCTTTGATGACAATAAGCTTGGATCCAAATCCAGCAATCCAAGTGCATGGTTGTATGCCAGGACATCAGCCAGCTCTTGTTTCACACATGATCTCATGACAGACAGTGTCATCTGCTGAAAAGGGTTACTGCAAAATGTGTCTTGCAGTGAGAGATCTTGTATTTACTTGGAGGGAGAAAGCAGTCTGTAGTTGGTAAACTTGCTACCTTTGCAGGAGCCAAACACATTTTGTGGTGGCTGCATCTGGGAATAGGAAGAAAATTTCTGGGTGCCATGGGGAACTCCCACATTTTCACCTTAGACTGTTGTTTCTCGTACTTTAGTGGGAAAGCAAGACAGTCTGGAAGCTTTTTTGTATTCAGCCTGCCTAAAATCACAGTTTAAAAAATAAGATGAAAAATTATTTTAATCAAAATGTTTTAAAGATAGTTCAAAGGCAGTTGAAGATATTGGATAATTCTGTTTCTTAGGAATACAAGTTAACACCTTATAAAGGGAGACAGTTTTTCATGGTGGTATGCTCAGCTTTTTCTGGAAACCATGTTCTTTTAAACTTATCTCAATTACAGAGAGAGACTGTGTTTGGTCCTTTGTAAGAGGATGTGGAACCGTCAGAACGAAGTTGCAGCCACTTTGTTGCACAATAAAAATGTTACTTAATGAGCACAAAGACTGCAACCACCATATTTTCCCCTGCAGAATGAATTGGATATTCTTGTGTTTATTTTTTCTTCCCAAAATTCATAAGCCTGAGATGGTCCTACACTTTTCCTTCTAATGAATCATTTCCTTCTTATTAAAAAAACTAAATAATGTTGTAGCTTTTTAGTATTAAGAAAACTTGTCTCTTGTACGTGGAGGGTGTTGAATGACTTCCTGCCTTCAACTTAAGTAAAGGCCCAAAAACTGAGGAGAGGGAAACTGGATCATAGCAGGAAGAAATAGAGGATGAGAACAGTGGTAATGTGAGATTACTTCAGCCCTCTGTGGAATTGCAGCCTGGCATCTTTGGATTTCACAGCCTTTCTGTAGTTTTCAGTGACAGTCCTAGGGCTTCCCTCCCTCCCCTGTGTGTAGCTTCTGCTTGTTTTGTTCCTTCTTCTTACTCTGCCAAGGCAAAAAGTACATGTATCTATCAGCACAGAGTTTAGGGTATTAGGAAAGATCCTGTGATAAGATAGGAAAGAGTCTGCATTCACACACACATTCTTGCTTAATGCAGCAGTTGATCCAACTACAAAGACTTTGTAAAAATAATGAAGCATTTTGGAGGCATCTATTTGCATTGCCTAGATATTTTCAAAGGAATTCATAATTCTTGTAACTAGTGTTGTCTTCTTTCAGAAAAGTTAGCTGCTTGAGATAAAATTATGTTTCCTTTCCACTGTTTGAGGTTTAAAGGCTAAAGAGTGTGTTTTATTGAGTTTTACTACCTCTTGCCTTTTTGATTACAGGCAATGCTTAGGGGTAACACTATCTGCTGAGGATTAGTGCAAGACCTGTGCAAATCATAAAGTATGGACATACTGTTTAAATGAAGCTGATGGGCGTGTAGGTCTGTTGCTGATTTGCAGCCTGAATGTAACCCTTAGCCTTGACTCTTTAAGCAACGTATAAATTATGGGAGACTAGAATATTTTGGAGCTACAAGAAAGAAAAGTCTTTGAATAATAAATTTCTTTCAATGTGATTGCACATCTAGCCATTTTGTCCCGAAATATATGTTGCCAAAACACTGGTTGAAAGCCTTTTTACAGCTTTTTGCTGCTGTGACATCTGGTTTATTGCATGAGAGTACACATATATTTCTGCTTATCTTTACAGAAAGCTTTGGCAGGGGTAGATGATCTGCAGCAAGTGAAGGCCCTAGAGATGAGAGTAGATACAAGAGAGACCAGCTTGGGAAACTTTGGTAAGAAAACACTATTTTCTGCTCACCATCTCAGATTTTCCTTTATCATGTCTTGGACTGGGGACTCAGTGACCAACGGCCAATATAAAGTACTGCCCTGCTCAAAGCTCTTGAAACGTGATCTCCCTGCTACCTCACACTCCTTGATCTGTTTTCTTGTGTGAGGCTCTAAATAGGACTGAAAACTATGGCAATGGGATGAGTGACACCACTTCTGTCTAAAGCCAGCCATCTTGAACAAATTTTTCTTGTATGATATGCTTCTAGGCCCCAAATGAGCATTTACTGATTACCTTGTCCTCTAGAGTACTTGTCTCTAGCGAAACAGTAACCAAAGATCAGTTCCCTCCACTGTAAGATTTCCCAGTGACTGAGAATTTGCCAGCAATATCAGGTGGCTCATGCTGCCAGCAGCCTGTCTTTGCCTGCTGCACTGCCTCATTGAGCTGTGCTGGAGGAAGGTCCTGTAGATATGTCATTTTGATGAGCCACAAATGGCCCTAATGCTTGTGATTCATTTCTATGTCATCATCACTGCACCAGGGAAGTGAGGAGTACCTAAGGAATTCCCTCTGTAGCAGAGTGAACACTGAGAATACAAAATCTCCTCCCACCCCACCCTGTACTGGCAATCATTCTCTGTCATTTGGCTTCCTACCACAACCGAGTCTATCTTCTGCTACACTGAAGATGAGTAACTACTGCAGGGTAGTATTTTCTGTGCTAAAAGGAGTCATGTCCCCAAAAGTGTGTGCTGGTATTTTCAGCCAAACAGTTAATTTTTCATATACCAATGACTACAATATAACAGCTGATTAGCTTTAGTGGGTCTTTTGATGTCCATTTGTCAAGAATAGTTGAGCAACTACAGTGAAGGAGGCTTTTGTCTGAAATTATATAACCCCCTTGTATTGGTTATTCTGCTTGTTTCACAAATAGGTCTCTTTCTGATAGGCACTTGATAATTTAAGGTAAATTATATCTGTTTCTTTCAGAGATCATAATCTATTCAGTCATGTTTCCTCCAGTTGATAAGGAAATCTCATTATACCATTTCTACAATGCTCAAAAGTGATGCTCCCCTTCCTATAGCATTGTGCATTAACTGTGATGAGCTAGCAAAATGTTTCACCTTTTTCACTCTCTCTTCCCTTTCCTTTCTTTTACTGGAATAAATCCCTTTCTCCTCCCCATGGTTAGGCTTTTGCAGCTTCTACAGAATACAGAGCACTATTTCCATGTTGCAAACAATTTCCATCTTGTTTATATCCCACTGTTTGCACCAAGAGTTGGCCCTTGAGGACCATAAAAACCAGCAGCTGCAGGTCCCCACTGCTTTTGAGAACAACAGAGCATCAAGACTGTCCTGAATTTCCTTCTGTCTTTTTTTTTTTTTTTTTTTTTTGAGTGCATTTCTGAATTCCCTTCCTGAGAAAATCTCTTTGCAAATGTCAACAGGTGGCTAGGGCAGTAAGTTTGCCACTTAATGCTGCCAGTGATCTTCAGTTTCTTGCTGTTTTTTCCACATGGCAGATGATTTTTAGGTGTGCACTGAATGAGGCCTAAATTTTTAAGGGTATTGCAGAGCAGTTGAGGTCTTCATTGTGATTGGTGTAAGGAAGATTGCTGTTGAAGTTGTCCATTGCCTTGCTCCCTGCCTGCCCCTGGAACTGTGCTGCTGACCTACTCTCTGGTCATAGGGGTCTGGAGAAATAGCCTGAGGGAAAGAGTAGGGTAAGAACCAGACCAGCCGAAATGACAGAACTCCCAGTGTGACAGAATGAAGTTTTTCCCCTACTAGGACAGTCGAGCAATAGGAGTATCCAGAGAGGTTTGGAGGCTTCATCTTTGTGGGTTTTCAAGACCTGGCTGGGCGAAGACTTGAGCACCCTGGTCTGATCTCACAGACAACCTGGCTCTGAGCTTGAGATCTCCAACTGTCCCCTCCAGCCTAGACTGCTCTGTAATTTGGGGTTTTCTTTGCATTTCAAACCTGGCTAATTGGCTTGCTTTGTAGCCATATTAAACCACCTAACCTTGTTCTCACTGTATTCCTTGGCTGTGGAAGGAGCATCTTTGTCATGGAGAAATTATTTGTTGGGTGATTAGTCCACACTCGGTATATTGTTTTGACTGGTTTTATGTGTAAAGATAAAACAGGCTGTGCAAGCACTTAAATGGCCAGGTAAAAGTGTTAAAAATTTACTGGACTGCACATATACTGGGTCACCTGGAACCTTGCAGCACTCAAATCCCAAATTTACACCACAGTGTCCACTTGAGAAACATTTCAAGACTCACAGCCTTTGTTACAGACCATAACACAGACACTCAGGGCCTAAAGACTTACAGAGTGATTTAAAACTTGTTGCTTGATGTTTTTCCTGAGACCATTTCACTTTGGGATGTGCTAAACTTTAAAACACCATCCTGCTAACCTTTCCCAGTTTGTCAGATCTGCTTCTACACAATGGCATGATGTGGTGGGAACAATTACTTCTCTTAGGGATAGGGTGTGGGCTAAACCACAGAAAGACTGTTATGAAGATATTTTCATGTGATCAGTTTTAAAATTAAGGAAAGGGTTCATACCGGTGCTTGAATCTGAGTACTTGCGGGGCTTGGGGTAATTGCTGAAATCTCTAGCTGTTTTCAGTGTGCCTTGCTGAGTGACAGGGAAAACACTGAAAACCCTGGCAGGTCTTGTATCCAGCTTTGCAGATCTTGGAGCTGATTTCTGTGCTCTTCAGCTGCATGTAGACTTCAGTTCATACTCAAACAGAGGGACTATTTCCTTTTCATTAGCTTATCCCTTCAGTTTTGGTTGCTGACAGATATGGGATTGCATTTGTGACCTGCTCACAGAAATTTGTGTTGAAAATAATGGTAAGATAGAGTCATTTAAGACACTACATAGCCCTCTTATTTCTAAATAATTTCAATACCTACAAATCAAGTTACCCACAGTGCTCTTCGCTGCTACTTATTGAATTGTTGCCTGCTGGTGGCCAGGCTAAGCTGATTACGTGTCTGATGATTGCCACTTTCATTGCACACATTTTATCAAGGAAAAGCTCTGTTAAAGGTTCAGAAGTAGGCATGTGCTGTTTTTCACACAGGGTCATCCTCTCTCTTTCCTCTTGCCCTGTTTGTTGGCTTTCCTGGTATGGAGCCGGGAGATGTTTGTCGGTAGGCGGTGTCACAGCAGCAGGTGTTGGCACTGTCAGGGAGCCAGTGGAGGTGTGAGTCTGGCCCATGCTGGTCTTGGTTTAGCTGCAACTGACAAACCTTGCCGAGTAGGGCTTGAACAACCCGCTACAGCAGGGCTCGAGCAGGGTCTCCGTGAGTCACGAGTATGTACTGGGGCAGCATGCTCATGTTAAACCCTGCACTGATGTGTTTTTGGGGAGAGTCACATCTCAGGTAGCTCGACTGCAGCTAGCTTGGGTTTGCCTGCAAGTGCTGCTTTCTTATCTCCAGTTGTATTGCCCAGTTCACCCCAGAAATGTGGAAAAAAATGCAAGTTCAGAAAATTAGCAGAAATAACATCAAAGTGATGTATCTTACTTGATCAAATACAATTAAGTAGACTGTTTAATTTTCATATCAGGTTGCTCTTGCTGGAAGAGTACAGCCTGTTTTCACATTCCTGTTTTGCATTGTAGGATCAACAAAGCATGAAGGCTGCCTGATGGCACTGCAAGTACTTATCAGTAATTTCTTTTTTGTGCTTTTCACTAGTCCATATTGCAAAAGACATAAGAAGTCAAGCCATGATATTTTTTGTTAACAATAGAATAACAGGATATATGATGCTACCTAAAGAATACTTCCTAGTGTAAACAGCAAGTGCTAGAAATGTGTTATAGCTTGTAGAATATAATAAAACCAGCATTTTGACTGTTTTCTCCTTACTCCTAATCAGTTTTCTAAATGTCACCTTCTGTGCCAAGGCAGCTCAGAAAGACATCTGCATTGCTATCCTGCTTGTGAAGTGCAGCACTTCAGGGCATGTTGTTGAGTGTGCTTGCATTGCTTTTATTCACCTATCTTACACTTTGATTTCTTTCTACTCTTCATTTAGTTTTGTTCCACTGGGACAGTACAGTAGAATGGTTTAACACCAGTACATTGTTGGTGGTTAGTAATTTCAGAGCCATATAACAAAAACGGTATTTAGTGAAAGGGAATCGTAGACAGATGAGATAACATTGCTTGTCATTCTGAATTCTCAGTCTTGTCCTGCAATTGTCAGCATTCTTCTGGACCATTCTCCTTTTTGAAATTTGAAATTACACACCATGAAGGCAGTTTCAGAATAAGGAATATATGGTCTGTACTTTTGAAATGAACATTAAAAGTTAATATTGTTGATATTTTAGGGTATTTTTATTTTAGTACAAGACTAATTTGTGTCCTTGCTCTCAGGAAAGATTCCATGAGGGTTAAAATTAAGAAAATTAGAAATATATTGTTACATTTGGGTAGTTCTCTTATTTTGTCACATTCATTTTACAATTTTCTCTTCTTAATTTAATTTTCCAGGTTCTAATGTATATCTAAGCACTCGGGACTGTAAAAACCAGCAAAATCAATCGTACAATGAATTTTTAGCACCAAAGAAAAATTACATATCAATATGAAACTTAGAGGAGGGAAGAACTTGCAGACTAGCAGAAATACATTGCAGAATATTGTTGTCAGAATTGTGCATGACCACACATAGAATACTTCTGTATCAGTCTAGCAAACGGCACATTAGAGCGTAGCACTCTAGAAGTTCCTAGGGATAGATCGTGCCAAAATATCTGAGATGGAGGATCATGTTACAATAATGAAATAGCCAGATGTGAAAATTGTATCATCAGCCTGCCACTCTGCCTCTTTGAATAGTTTTTTTCCTGAATCAACCCTAAATACATTCAGTGGAAAGCTTTTTCTCGGGCACATCTCTCCATTTCTCTCGGACTCTTCTTGATTCCTCATTCAAGTCTTCTGCTTAATATTAGTTCTTAAAACACAGTTGCCTTGTAATGCTTTGCAACAGCTTCTGCTTGGTAACCCTTTCTGGTTGAATCCATGGCAAGGCTATTACCTGCTGCTGAGCTGGGACTGGAGAGGCTACTGCATCCTTCTCACTCTTTCCCTTAACACTTTGGGGGGTATCATTTAATCTCTCTGTCCTTATCAGAAACAGGATGGCAATTTTTTTGAGTCTAGATTTTGGTTTTTTTCCGTGGGGAGTTTCTTAGGGCATGGTTTGTATCTGAGGAAGTATTTGCTCAATAGCTAGTATGACTGCTGTGAATAATTAGAGAGATCCTAATATCTCCTCTGCCAGAACTCCAAATTATTTTGTTATAAATGCATACTTGTTTGACATGAGAAAGTATGCCCTGCAGAATAAAGATGCTGTGTTATAATTTGTATTCCAATTTTTATGGATTATGGAAAATTATTAAAAAACAAGGCTAAAAAATTTGCACAAGGTGTTTTGAATTTTTGGGGTTTTTTCAAAAGAGCTTTGCAAAGACATGAAATTAAGTACTTGCAGTATAGCATGAAGATCAATATGTGCATTATAATCACTCCCCTGATTTATTAAAATGTTTTTGTAAAAACTGCTTTTGTTCTGTTTTGGGAATTAACAACAGAGCCTCCTTTGTTTACTTTGGAGATCCCACTCCTTTTTTCTTTTCTTTTTTTTTTTTAACTTCTTTTTTAAACTTTGTTGTTGTTGTTGTTTTCCTTTTTTTTTTTTTTTTTTTCAAATTTTTATCCTTTGCAAAGTGCTGGAATGATGTCCTTCTGGACATTGATAAGTCACCCTTGCCAGAGAGTGATTTAAAAGGACTCACAAAAACATTTGCTGAGAACACAATTTAATGTTTCAGCAATTATCCAGTTTGTCTAAAATTGGTATTACTTCTACATGGTTGCATATTATACTGGAGGATGCTCACCAGCCTCGGGTAAGGTCTGCTAGTGGGAAAGGGTAAAAGTTTGTTATTGTCAATAGCAAATGTTTCCTGAGACTTATATCCAAATTATTCTGTAGCTTGGAGGGATTTGGTGTATGATTTTGGTTCAGAGACACCTTTAGAAGCAACCAAAATGGCAAATGTCTCTCAGGGATAGAAGAAACAAAAAAGCATTAATTAAAGTAATAACAACAGAGTACTGAGGTTTTCATAAATATGAAACTTGTACAATTCAATAGTAAACAATTGATCAGATCCAAAAAATTAAAAAGGAGAAAGCAATGCTTATCAAAATAGAAGTAATGTTTTGGGGACCTCAGAGCTATAAAAAATGATGTGACATGGAGCATTATGTTTTTGTTGTTTGACTCAAAGTTACATTTTGAAGAACTGTCACTGTGTATCCAGTTAAGTCGATCACTACTTTCCATTAAATTGTTTATGGAATGCTATACTCTAAAGCATCCCTTACCTCGTCAGAGTATTACTCAGTTAATAGTCAATAAGGATGTGGAATCAGACCAAAGAAAATAGACATCCCTGAAGCCAGTTTCTGGTTTTGTCTGTCTGGAAAGGTGCCTGTCAGAGAGGGGTTCAAAAAATGATAATTGGGTAGTCATGCAGACAATACGTATGTGTTTCAAAAATGCAAGGGATGAAATATTTTTTGAGTGAAATAATCTCATGGATTTTCTTAGAAGCAGTCCAGCACAGATCTGACAGAAACAGCTAAACAGCAAAATTAGATGCTTCGACTTTTAATTGTCCTCAGTTTCCTTTGCTCTCATCCCAGATGTGCAAAGTGATGCTTTATTCTGTTCCCATAGGTGTGCATCTACCTAATCTGAGAGAACTGAACTTGAACAATAGCTTGCTTGTGTCTGTGAGGTAAGAAATGAATGACTCTATGAAGTTAGTATAAAGAATAATAGCCCACGATTTTATTTAAGTGGTAAAATCTTCATTTGTGCTGCTTACATTTCTTCAATTTCTCCATGCTACGTTAATGGGTTAGGTCATGAATATATACTCTGCTACTACAGAAGTTTAAGGACGGGACCTGAGCTGGAATAAATCAGTGTAGCTGCAATGGTGCCAATGAATTGCCCTAGTCTGCCACCAGGGAAGTTCCTGCCATGCTGACATCCATGGAAATTTGTTGCAAATTTGAAAGGAGCTAAAAACTCACCTCTTATCTATGTCTAGGTGCTTGGATTTCAGAGTGTTTCAGCCTTTGGGCTTTTATTGTGCACAGTAACCTGTTCTGTACAGGTCAGACCAGTTCCTCAGCTGATGAAAATCACTCTGGCTTTATTGAAGTCAATGAAGTTCGGTTTATAAAAGCTGCTATGAAGACTGCATGTCCCTGGCTTACTGAGCTTCATGAAATCATCACCTATCTTCTCCCAGACAACTGGGGAGTTGGTTGATTGGAAAGGTAGAAGTGAAAACCATCACAATGAGGAGGCAAAGCTGTCTACTCCTTCCTGTGCTGATACCTGTATTACCCTTGGTAATTAATGCGTAGTGGAAAAATACAGTTCATATCTCAGAAAAGGGCTGTGTAAAAGGCCATCTTTATTTTAAACAGGACTGCTCTCTGGCTTTGTATGGCTATCTGCTAAATTTGTGGGGGAAAAAGGTAATGGTTTTGCCAATTCTTGTTAAAGAGAACGCGTTCCCTGATAAGAAATGGCAATAAATTCTTTTTGGTCTGCTAAAGTTGCTAATGAACTTCAGTTGTCACACTTTGATCTTATTTTCCCTTGTTCTGGTGATGAGATGAAGTATCTGCAGTCTAAATTTTACCTTGTAGTCCGTAACATGTAAAAGTGGTAATTCTACATTGCTGCAATTATTTTAATAGCAACCAACCATTGTCATAAGCATGAAATTGCTCCATTATGGAGTAAGTATTGGGTAAAAAAAATGGAGGAGTAAGTATTGGGTAAAAAAAATTACAATTTTGACAATATCAGAAGATATTATACTAAAAAGCAAAAAAGTTAAAAAGTGTTTCTTAGTTTGGTCAAAAATCCATATTCACTTTAAAATGTGTCAATGGAAAATGTTTTGACCAGTTATATTGGTATTGAATATAGAATGCAGTTCAGGAAAGCTAAATTGTTTGACTGCTTTTACTAGAATTTTGCAGCTTTGTGTTCTGAGACTCTAATTTCTGTCATGAGAAACTCCGGCAAACCATTTTCTTTGACCTGATATTTTTGTGATTTTTTGATGCAGGTAATGTTTGATCTCAAGTTGAGGGGTTTTTTTGACCCACTATAATGTAAATATGTTTGGGCTTGGATATCAAGTCTAATACTGCGATGATTCCCAGGCACACAAATCCCAGGAGAAGCTACCTGCTCCTCTTTTAAATAAGTGTCCTTTCTGTGTGCCAGTTAAATGCAATTTTCAGGGAATAGGTGAAGGAAGAAGACGATGACTTTGTTAGCTCTCCTAGACTTGAACTCATTCAGTATAGTTACAGCAGTAGCTTTCCTCTGTTAATTCCCACCTTTGACAATCTGTCATTGACAAACATATATCATTTAAGGGCACATCCATGCAAGCACAGCCTGGGTACTTGAACTTTATTTTTGGATGTCTGCATCATGTCAATTTAATGCCCATTAAAGCAACGTTGCTGCCACAGCAGTGGCAATGCCTGCTATAGCTAATGTAACGTAGCTGCTTCCATTCTAGCAGGCTGCTGCCATTTACTCCAAAATTTAGAAATCTTATTTCTGAATTAATCTTTTTAATATTTGAATTCTGTCCAAAAAGTGATTATTTTGCTGTATTCAACCAAACCCTTGCAATTGAGGCTTCTGAGGATGATAGAAAAAAATTGTTCTTCCTTCTCACTCAAAAGTAGTTCCCTCAGATTTTGTCAGCCATAAGATCAGAATCATTGTGGTTGTAATTTGAAAATGGGCAGCAGATAACAGGAAACAGCTCATAGGGTCAGACTGTAAGATTGGATTGTTTACTAAAAAGATGGTAAGGACGAAAAAAGCAGGCAAAAGATAGAGGGTGTTTTGTACATACTTGGAATGTTAAAAGCAGACATTCTTTTCATGCTATTTTATGTGAAAAAATATATTATTGTGAATTACTATAAACAAAAGACTGTGTGCCTACATGAGTGGGTAATAAGATGCGAAACTTTGGTTTTTTACATTTTATTTTTGTTTAGTTTTGTCTGGCAGAGTAGAATTACCTAATTACTTTAGGATGAAATGGAATTAAAACATCTCTTTTCATTTTGAAAGTGGGGAAAGAATTGACTTGATAGTAAACAGGGTATAGGGAGATGTCAAAACCAAGATTTATGATCCTGACTTTAGTTTTTGAGATGTTTATTCCTGTCAGCCTCACACAGGAACTTAACTTGTGGGGATGCTGAGGTGTGCTTTGCCGTTCACCTTTCAGTAGAAATCAAAGGAGGGGTGTTCTGGCAGTGAGGAATCAAGGTATTCATGTATTAGAGTTTTCTATGGGACAGCAGGGCTTGCTAGGCCAGTGAATCTGGATATTGGCTTCTCCTGGTAGTTCCTGAAGTTCTGATTCCTTTGGTGGGGCATGTGGTTGAGATACTTTAGTTGTTAATTCGTAGTCCCTCCCCAATCTTCCTAAAGCTTGCATTACTTTTGAATACTTGAAACTTCAAAAGGCTATATGTAAGTGTAGGATATCATTATCAACTATTTAATTTAATCCAAAAGGAAAATATATCCAAGTTTATTTGCAGATAATCATTCTTGGCAGTTGAAAGGGAATTTCTTTCTTGGCTGTTTCTGGGTTTTGGTTTTCTACTGGCCCTTTGCTAAAGGGGAACAGCTCTGGAAAATCCAGTGTACTGTGAAAAGAAATCAGTTCCTATTGTTGTTCATTTTCTAAATCACAATAATTTTATTATGTCTTTGTTTGGTGACCTTCACCCATCTGCTAGCAGCTTAGAAGTTCTAGATTTAAGAACTGATAATCGAGAAGGAAAAGTCAAACCTATTCTGAAGAGTGCCTGTTAAAATCTGCCTCTGTGTGTGTGTGTGTGTGTGTGTGTGATGACCATGGTCCTCATCTTTGTGATGTTTCCAGTAAAAGAAGTATATTTCAAGGCCAGTGAATTACTTCTTCTGCTTTGGCACATAGCCTATATATTTTTTTATCAGATTGCTTTTATTCTCAATTCAGGGATGAATGAAAAGATCTGTTTAAAAATGTTTAGATAGAGATCTTTACGAAAGGGCTTTTAAATCAGATAAGGGGAGCTTAGGAACTGTTTCCCATAAGTTTATAGCAGAAGCTGTTTCACCAGCTGAAATTCATTTCCTCCCATTCAGCTCTACACATTGTAGCCAGCAGAAGACTGATCTGCTTTCAGGGCTACTTGAGCAACTGCTTGTAACAGGGAGAGGTCATAGTTTAAGTGAGATGAAATGCAAAGACTTCAAAATGTGCGGACAAAAGTGAGTATGAGGGATATAGGTAAAGGAAAGCAGATTTTCTTTATGCAGATAGAGTTAACATTTCATTGCTGCAGTTCTCAGATGGGTCTGGCACTATTGCAGAAGCATCTCCCAGAACAAGAGAGCAGCAATCTTGGCCTGTTTCAGTCAGTAAAATCATCAGAAAGTTCAGATGAACAAGGTGCAGATTACATTTAAAATCAACAATTCTCATGCTTTTATGAGCCTTAGGGTATTTGTTTTGGTTTGATTTTTTATCACCACATCCTGGAGACAAGACTAACTACACAGGAACCTCTGTATTCACTTTTTGGAATGTTTTGAGCCCTCTTGGCTGTGAAAAAAAAACCTGAAAATGTGAGCCAAGTGATTTAAGTAAGGGTTTTGCTGATTATTTCATGATATTAGGAAACCAGAGGCAAATAAATTCTTTTTTAATTAAGGGCAAGGGCTTTAAAGTAGTGTTTAAAAATACTTTTGAGACCTGAATCAAGATCTTTAGGTATTTGAACTTAGCAATATAACTCCTTGGTACTTATTCAACAAAGAGTTTAAGGAAATGTGCACCTCTTAAAGTCACACAAAGTTGGCCTTCAGTGGCATTGCTCACAAGCTGAAAATTAAAAATTGATCCAAGTGCTTTGCTGGATCTGGGTCAAGTTACACCATCTTGTATAAGACTGAGCTGTGATACTTATCACCCCAAGACTTGATGTATTGCTGATAGTGTGTGTCTAGGCACCAACTATTTGCTGGATGGTTTTCCCTCAAACAGGAGAAATGTGAGGGCATCATTCCCCTAAATTTGCTTTTTTCCTTGTCATTTTTACTTATTCCTTTCCTTCCCGTCTCTTTTTTTCCCCTCCAGTTTGCTCTTTCATCTGCCTGTCATTTCTAATCTTTTACAATTACTATGTTTGATGCGTGTAACACAGGTGGCACACATAAATGCAATGAGTCTTGTGCAACAAGGATCAGCATTGCTTTTATGATAGATAAAATCCACAGATGTTTTCTGAAATCAGTTCAGTTGCTTAGTTTGCATTAAGAGTGCAATTTTTTGTCAAGAGATGATTTATTTGTATTACAGTAGTTTCTTACAGTGTTTAGCGAGGGATCAGGGTCCTCTTGCTCTGGGTGGTACTTACAGGTGCAGTCAGAGAACCACTGCTGCGATTTGGTCTGGGTGAATTGCTTCAATGCCCTAATTTCAGTGCCCAGAGCATCACTGTTTATTTTCACATTTGCATTCCAGGGTGAGGAAAGCATTTAATTTCAAATGCAAGCTAGTTTCTGTAGGAAGCATTTGTTAATTCTTTTGTGTAGCCAGCCTGAAAGTCCTTCACTGCTTAAGGTTGCTATGAAGTCTCTCTTAAGAACATGTTCTTTGAGGAATTTGGGTGCTTTCCAGGA